ATAATATGAATATAATAATATAATATTTAATTATATATTAATTATATATTATATATATATAAATATCAATTGTATTAATTTAAAAAATTAATATAATATATTTATATATTATTATTACATAAATCATTGGATATTTGTCTCCAAACAAATATATTATTTATATATTTATAACAAAATTGATACTATATTTTTAATTAATAAAAATGAGAGGTAGTAGTGTATCTTGCAATTTGAAAATCATTTGAAAAATTAATAGATCATTTTGATTAAAATAATTAGATAATTTTGACGATGCGCGCGCACAACGATACATTTTAACAGATTGAAGTTAGTCAATATATTTAAATATTGAGGTTATTAATTATATCTTTGTAAAAATGAATAATAATAATATATGTAGGAACTGTTTTTGAGGGTGAATTTCGTGATGGCAAATTTCACGGACACGGAACCATGTCTTTTCCTTGCGGACAAAGCATAGATGGGGTTTGGATAAATGGTCAATTGAAAATGAAGCGGTACAAGTTCAAGGACGGTTTAGTGTTCGATGAAGATAATTGGAAGTTTTGCCAATTTCCTGACAGACGGTTAGCGTAACATTTGACTATAATTTACGGTAACCTTGATATTATTCGTCTAATCTTAAGTTTGTAATATATATATTTCTTTGTATAGATTTTATCCATGTATCACAAGTTACCTGAGACCTGCACGGGAAACGTTAGAAACTAATTTTCATCCACCAAAAATAATTCCTATTCATTGTTACGATACTGGTAACGGTGTTTACTATCCGGATACTCATTGTATCATGTCTTATGATTCAAAAAAGGTTAATATAATACGATCATTTTCTCATTTCTTTTTTACTGATTGTATAAATAATTGTTTTTAGTTATTATTTAATTGGCAAGTATGAAATTTGTAATAAGTTGTAGTTTGTACCCTTTCCGGACGCGTGACCACTCTCAGCCACCACACAAGAAACCTTGCAAATTAATAATAATAATATTAATATATTATAAATATATTAATATAATAGTTAGAATTAAGTATATTGTCAAGGGGAACGAACATGTAGGGGGGGCCTTCGGGGTAAACACCCTAAAGGGGTATACCTGAAAAATAAACTTCTTCTTCTATAAATATATTAATATAATAGTATAAATAATTATAAATAAATAAATAAATAAATAAATAAATATATATATATATATAAATTAATTCCGACCAATACGACACCCATGTCCAAATTGAATACGTTCGAAAAGGGTTAATTGTGGATTGTTTTTTTACTATACAAATTTCATACTTGACGATTCTATATTTTATTGGATCAGTATTATTTAACAGATGAGTATAATTATTTCATATGATTTAACTGGTTATTTCACGAATTAACTTAATTTCAATTTACGATTTTAACCGTAAAAATTCTACAAAATATTGATGAAAAAGTAGTGAAAATGCTTATCAAATAAATAGAAGTAACTAATCGGTTCAGTGTCAACAAAGTAAGGTTGCTCTGGGTGCCGGGTCATAGTGGCGTTCAGGGCAACGAAAGGGCGCACGAGCTTGCCAGACTTGGAGCTTCACGGCACGATCTGACAAGCCAATGCCACATCAGCGTGTCAGAGGGGCTCATGCGGTGGAGGTCTAAGAAGTGGGTTACGGACCGCTTCAGGGATCTCTGGGTGCAAGGCCCTGGCATGAGGCATACGAAGGCTCTGTTTTCAGGGCCTTCGGAGGAGCTAGGTACCGAGTTGATCAACCTGGACCGAGCCCAATTGAGGCTGGTTGTGTGATTGGTCATCGGGCACTGGCACCTTTGAAAGCACCTTACGCGACTGGACCTTGCACAAGACTCGGTCTGCGGGAGGTGCGGCGAAGGAGAGGATACCC